TCGTAGTACCCGTACTGGTGTCCTGGTGGGCTGAGCAGGATGAGCGCCTCACAGCAATCGGTGAGGGCGAGCATGAGGCTCGCATACCTGCGGTCAGGGCGAGCATTTTTTCCAGGGCGAGCATGAGGCTGGAGAGTCCGCGTGTGACCTTGTCGCGATAAAAGTGCCACGAAGCGCTATTTCCTGCTCTCAGCTCACCACCTCGCCTTCTCTGTCGCTCTCCTGGCCCAGGCCCATCAGTATCAGGTCTGAGCTGTCCCAAACCGCACTTACCTCGGGTCTTCAAGCTCACACCGGCTCGTGATGCCACGGAGAGGGCTCCGAGATTGTCCCCGGTGGACCCCATCCGAGCCGATTGCGAGGGCATTACGGAGGTCATTATCGGCGCCATCGACTGTGAAATGTCCCGACCCACAGCCCTCATGCACTAGGCTCATGGATGCAGTCATAATATGTAGGCCTTGTCTCCCGAAGTTTGGAGCAATAGCCGCAAATAGTACTTTTTGGCACTTCATCGCGACACGTCCAGGTGCCGACAAAGCGGCTTCCCAGCTCACCACCTCGCCTTCTCTGTCGCTCTCCTGGCCCAGGCCCATCAGCAGCAAGTCTGAGCCGTCCCAAACCGCACTTATCTTGGGTGATGAAGCTCACTCTGGCTCATACCACGGCTCTGCAGCCTCACACACGCCCGTTTCAGCCACAGACACCGCCGGCACGCACTCCCACTTCACACACGCTCAAGCACAACCCCATCAAAGCACATCCCTGCTCAGAATGGGCAAGGGCTACCACCTGGTGACCCTGGTAGCCTCTGGCTCGCCACTGCACTCGGCTCCTCTGCAGCGGTCTCGGCTCTCGCCACGACAGCACGCCGACGGCAAGCTTTGACGCCCGTCTGGTGGACCTGCTGTGGCCACAGCCGCCCCTGACATGCATCTCGCACCATGACTCGACACCGGGCCCGCTCAGCTTGGTCGTGGCGGCGTGTGTGAAGGATGCGCGGCCGAGCCGCTGGCTGGCGCCGCTTGAGCGTCCGAGATGGCCGCAGCAGAGGCCACGCGTCGCGCCGCCGGCCAAGCCCAGCCTCTCCGCGGTCCAGTCGGTCAAGCTGGCGGGGCCGGCGAAGATTTCGGGGACGTGACCACAACTCGGGCAGCGACAGCGCGCTTGAGCTTAGCTTGTCCGACACCCCTCAAAATCGGGGTCATTTCAATAGGGCCCACCTTGGCCTTTAAGGATCGAACTCTACATTCTGCTCCCGTTCACATGGCACCTTCGCGTGAGATTCTCGACGACACCTCGGTCGTCATGAACGGCACCTCGGCCGTCTGCGAGTCGCGCAACCTCGTGCGCGACAACTCCATCCGCTCGATACGGTTGGAGGACATGGAGGCTGAGTTGTGCGGCAAGGCCGACAACCAGCTGGACATCACCTGCATCATCATGGAGGACCCCGCCAAAGGAAAGGCCGAGTCCACCGGCAACACGAACCACAACATCACGTCTGACAAGTATTCCAACATGCCGCCCGACTCCACGCACTCCATCCTGCTCAAGCCGAACAACGGAGACAGCGTCGGAAACAAGTGCCTCCTCTTCGGCGCGCCCGTCTCCCCGGCCGAGTGTTTCTTCATGACCGAGAGTGTCTGGCCCAAGATGGTCGCCGAGTCCATGGCCATCGCTCTCGAGCAAAAGAAGGCCTCCGAGGTCGACGTCGACAAGATCCTTGAGCCTGAGCCTCTCAAGCCTTTCGACGCCGGCTGCTCGACGCGGTCGAAGCACGTCGTGGAGTGGATCCGTCACCAAGTCCGCCACCGCATCATCGGCCTCGGCGTCCGCATCTCCAAGCTCCTCTCCGACGTCCGCCCGGCGCTCAACTTCCTCCCGAACCACGCCATCGAAAACGCCATCGCCGATGCGTTCATGCTCGGCTCCGCCGCCACCGTCAACAACGACTTCGACGCGCGCAAGTTCAAGGTCGCGCCCTTTGCCGGAAACCCGATCGACTTTGAGCGCTTTGTTCGCGACGCGATGGACTACCTCGGAAGCTGCTTCGGCAACCACCAAGATGAGGAGTACTCGCTCGGCGACGAGGCGGATGGCAAGTCGCCCTACGGCTATATCGAGCAGGACCCGCTCGACGCCTCCTTCTATGTGGGGCTGAGGGTGCCGCACGACTAGAACGAGCATTGCCGTCCAAGCTCTGCTGGCGCTGGGTGTTGTGGGGATCTGACGGCGCGGTTTGTGTGGCGCAGTTGTGGCTTCTCCGTGGTGCGTGGAGAGAACGGGACCGGGGGGCCGTCTCAGTCTCGAGAGATACCTTCGCGACCTCATAAACTGCGCAGGATGAAGAGGGTGTACGCTCTCGGGTTTCACGTGTGTGCGCGGACCCCGCCGCGGGCACACCCCCTCGAAGACAACGACCCCGAGTGTTAAAACATATAAAACATCGTTCACAGCACTTCCATCACGCGTTGGGTGGTGTCGGTGTCGCAAGGGGGGAACCTATCTCTAGCACAGCTCGCTGGCTCGCTGGCTCGCAATGCGCAGATGAGGCCACAAGCTACGTCCGCCGGGCTCGTCCTGAGCGACCGGATCCGTGAGAAGCAGGCTATAGCACGGCGGGAACGGTGCCGGCGAGAGTGGGCGTTTGGTGGTGAGTTGACGCCAGACATGCGGCGGCCGGCGGGACGCGGAGGGAAGCACATTGCCAAGCCCTCGACTCCCAGGGGAAAGCGCGCGTCAGCACTCCCTCTCTCTGGCTCGCTGCAGTGCGAGCGGAACCCTCTCTGCATGCGCGGCTTCAAGCACGGTGGCCGTGGCGGCCACTGCTCACTGCGCAAGGTGGAGACGACGGCAGTGACGCCGTCGTCGGCAGAGGAGCCGTCAGGAGTACCGGTCGCGGTGGCCTCCACCACCGCGACACCCGCTGTCATCGCCGATTCCTCCTCCGCCGCCTCCTCCTCTTCCACCGCCGCCACCGCCTCCTCGTCCTCTGCCGCCGCCGCCTCCTCTTCCGCCGATGCACTATCCTGGCCGTCTGGCCTGTCGTGTGACGCGTGTCGCGGCCGTCACGTCAGGCACATCTGCGGCAGGCAGATTGGTGGCCCCCTGGACCCATTGCACGGTGGTCTCCTCGCCCCTGCCTCCGACTCCGCCGCCGCCTCCTCTTCCGCCGCCGCCTCCTCCTCCTCCTCCGGCTCGCTGTACAAGGTGGAGCGCGTGCTGGCGGAGCGTAAGGGCCGCTTCCTGGTCCGCTGGGAGGGCTACTCGGCCGCGAGCGACTCGTGGGAGCCGGCCGAGAGCTTCCTCCACCCTCTGCCGATCGAGCTCTTCCGGGAGGTGAGACTTCCTAGACACGTCCGAGACGTCTCGCAGACATTGCCTCGCCGGACTGCGGGGTGTCATGGGGTAGGCTCGCCGGCGTGCGGTGGCGGCTGGTGGTGCACGCCGTGGACAGGAATGCCCACCCCCCTGCTTGCTCACGAGGCGGAAGGGGCGTGGACAGGAATGCCCACTTTAGGCGGAGGAGGGGGAGGGGTCCGAGAGCGTCGCTCGGCGGCTCGAGAGGTCCAACTCGCACGTGCGCGTCCGCTTTGCCGGCAAGGCGGGCGAGGCGGCGGCGGCGGCGGCGGCGGCGGTCCCGTCGCCCACTCCGTCGGACGTGCTGGTCGATTTTCCGCTCTGGGAGTGTCGCGGCGGAGGCGGCGGAGCGGTGCAGTCGCCGCCGCCGCCGCCGCCGCAGGCGGCTTCAGCTGTGCTCGGTAACAGTTTGCTGCTCGAGACGGTCGCCACGGTTGCCCACCTCGCGTCCTATCTCTCGGCGCGAGACTTGTGCTACCTCGCAAAGACGTGCCGCGCCGTCTCGGCGAGCCTGCCCTGGTCCGAAGTTGCCGCTCACGCCGCCGCCGCGTCTGGTCTCGGAGGCGCTAGCGGCGTTGGCTGCGCGCGCAGCATGGCCGCGTGGTACGCCAAGCACTCGCTCGCCATCGATCGCGGCACCGCCTTTGGCTCTCGCCTCTCCGGCGCCGGCCGCACTTGCGCTGAGCTGCACCTCGGCGGTCCACAACATGGGTTGAGGGCAGCGGCGGCCGAGGCGGCGGAGGAGCAGGATGAGCTCTCGCTGCGGCCGAGCTTGTACCGCGTCGCCACCGCGGTGACGTCGGTCGGCTTCTCGTCGCGCCTCGCGCGCTCCATCTCGTGGAGTGTCCGGTTGGTCCGGCTGCCGCAGCTCGACGGCGTCGGCCTCTGGCTCGGTGCATGCTTGCACGACCGCGCGCGGCGAAGGAGTCCCACCCCGTAGCCCACCACCGATGCGCTCGTCGTAGGCATCATGTACGACAAGCGCGGCTCCGCCCCCGCCGAGGAGGCGCCTTTGCCCGCTGCGGGCGGCGGCGGGCCACTGCACAAGCAGGTGGGAGGCGGCCGGTCTCGGCCAGTCTCGGCTAATCTCGGCCAATC